TTTTAGATGTCAAGCGCTCATTTGTTGCTACTGGTTTGTTTCCCTTTGACCCGGATTTTCCGAGGCGCTTTAAAAATGATGAGGACATTTTGGACGAGAAGATTCACAATCTCGAACGAGCTTGGAAGCAAGGTGGTAGCCAGTTGCGAACAGTGAAGAAACGCAGTGCAGATTCTGAAACGTACAGGAGACTGGACAATATATTTCACACGGAGAAGGACTGTGCTTTGGCAATTCAGAAGCTTGGAACTGTATTGTCTTCCGCTCGCACTACAGGCAAGATTTGGCGAGAAGTTGGGGCGGTAACAGTGGCGCAAAATACGGGAATAGGAGTAAAAAGAATTGCCTTGGACTGTGGAGCACCAGTTGCTTGTTTGACTGTGGGACAGCTAATTGAATATCGAAAACAGAATGAAAGGGCAAAGATCCGCCAGCAGCTGGTGAAAGAAAAAGAGAAACAGGAGAGGGCTGCAGAAAAGAATTGCAAAGCAGAACAAAAAGTGCGAGTTGCTCGTGAACGGGAACTTAGGAAGCTACAGACAGTTGCTGAACGTAGCGCTATGTCGGCGCTTTTGTCGATAGGAAAGCCGAGAAAGATACGAGGAAGGAAGGGCGGGGCGAGGGCGGCGACAATTGTTCGCTCTATTCTTTCTAAAGTCATAGGAGAAGCTTTGTATCGAGCAAACGCAAGTGTTCAGAATTGAGCCATTTTTGAAGTTGCAGCGTCGCAAACATGTTCACTGTAAACGAGTTCTCCGCAAATAGGCGTCTGTTTTGGTGCGCTTGTGGCCATTGGTTGCATTGCCGGTTGTATTTACTCGGTACAGCAGTAGCTCGTTTGAGGTTGGAGTGTCCATGCGCCTTGTAGTGCTATGATACGCAAAGGTGTCCAAAATTGACCCAGTGAGAAGGGTAGTGCTTTTGATCCGTTGATGGATTCTGGGTAGATGAAGTGATGGGGGCGTCCATGACGCAAACCGGTACGACCCGTGCAGTCTGAGACTCGTTTGCGCTGATGCAAAGAATGGAAGACCCACTTCGTTTTCCTTCAAGACAGGTCGATCCGGCATTGCTGTTCACAGCAATGATCACATGATCAGGCGGATGTGAAACTCGTGGAAAACTCACATGCCCCGAGTTTTGGGTATGCTGTGAGTTTTGCCAAACGCGTTGTTTGAAAGTTTTGCGTTCAGAAAATCCGAGCAAACTGGCGGCCAAAACACGTGTTTTTGTGACTTTACGGACAACCTTAGAAAATCCGAGCGAACTCGCCGCCAAAACACGCTTTTTCGTGACTTTATGGACAAAGTTACAAAATGTAACAATTACAGTAACCGTTCTTTCTGTAATGTGACAAACCCTAGAAATGTTTTGCCCCTCATTTAAAAAAAAGATTTTAAGAAATGTTTTGCCCCTCATTTAAAATGACCTTACAACGTAACGGCGAAGCCATCCAGCACGAACTGTCCGCATCGGTCAATGTGACAGAGCAAAGGCAAAGACAGTATGTTCAGAAAGAAAAAGCGCATTAACTTGCTGCGCAAGGGCATCTTCTCGTTGTTCACTTTGTAAAGACTACTGCGTTTGCAGAGCGACATGTACAATTGCTAACCGGGCACGAGATGAGATCCTCAATAAAAAGCAGTTTTATTCCTGGCTACTGAGATGTAATGATTGTATGTGCTCATGCGTAACTCGTCAAGGTACTATCAAGGAATCCTTCCGAATTAGTATTCGTCCTCGTCCTCATCCGCTTCACCGGAAACCTCGGCATAGTCGTGTTCGAGCATGGCAAGGTTCTCACGGGCCTCTGAGAACTCACCCTCCTCCATACCCTCTCCGACGTACCAATGCACGAAGGCGCGCTTGGCGTACATGAGATCGAACTTAGCGTCAATGCGAGCAAACACCTCAGCGATAGCAGTAGAGTTGGCCATGGAGCAGACGGACCTCTGGGCCTTGGCGAGCTCATCGTTGGGGATCTTAGTGGGCTGCTGCGAGTTGATACCGATCTTCACACCCGTCGGGGACCACTCGACAAACTGGACCGATTTCTTCGTCTTGACGGTACCGACAGCGACGTTGACGTCCTTCGGGAAGATGTCGAGACCACGGTAGTTGAGAGAGACAGCGATGTAGCGACCGGAGCGGGGATCGCACTTGGCGAACGAGGCATTCGGCTCGAAGACAGAGTTGGTGATCTCGGCAACACTCGATTCCTCGTGGTAGGCCTTCTCGGAGGAGACGATCGGAGCGTATGCGGAGAGCATGAAATGAATGCGGGGATACGGAACCAGGTTGGTTTGGAACTCATTGATATCAACATTGAGAGTACCATCGAACCTGAGGGAGGCCGTCAGAGAGGACACAACCTGTGCGATAAGCCTGTTGAGGTTGGAATAGGTGGGGCGCATGATGCCCAACGAGCGACGGCAGATATCATAGATGGCCTCATTGTCAAGCACGACACCGACGTCCAGATGCTCGAGAAGCGAATGAGTAGCAAGGACGGAGTTGTAAGGCTCCACGACGGAGGTGGAGACCTGAGGCGACGGGTAGACGGTGAAGCCGAGCTTGCACTTCTTGCCATAGTCGACGGAGAGGCGCTCCAAAAGGAGAGATCCGAGGCCGGATCCGGTACCGCCACCGACGGACGAGAAGACCAGGAAGCCCTGAAGGCCGGTACAGTTGTCGGCGAGCTTGCGGATGCGGTCCAGGGCGGTGTCGACGATCTCTTTGCCGACGGTGTAGTGGCCGCGGGCGTAGTTGTTCGCGGCGTCCTCCTTGCCGGTGATGAGCTGCTCAGGATGGTAGAGCTGGCGGTACGTGCCCGAGCGGACCTCGTCGACGACGGTGGGCTCCAGGTCCAGGAAGATGGCGCGCGGGATGTGCTTGCCGCTAGAGGTCTCCGAGAAAAAGGTGGAGAAGGAGTCGTTGCCCGGGTTGGCCTTCTTCTCCTCAGTCAGCTCGCCCGTCGGCGAGATGCCGTGCTCCAGGCAGTACAGCTCCCAGCAGGAGTTGGCGACTTGCACGCCGGCTTGGCCGATGTGGAGGGAGATGATCTCACGCATGGTGTTGGGGTGGGTGGGTGGGTGGGTGGGACGGGGAAAGGTGGGAGAAGGCGGGGGGGGGGAAGAGTTCAACAAGAGATACTTCTAAGAGCACCTGTCAAACGATGTGGATGGAAGCAGGCGGAAGGGGGTGGGTGCGAGGAGGCGGCAGGTGGCGCAGGGCGGTATAAATAGGGCTGGCTGGGAGGAGAGAGGACGGTTTTGGTCCGCGGGTTTGAATGAAAATTCAAAATGGCGAATTGCGGACAAGTTTTGGCGGGACTTTGTCCAATTGGCTGCACGTTGCGTTTCGACCTTCGCTCAGCGGTCGGCACTTTTGCCCTTTTTCCCAGCCCCCCCCCCCCCCCCCCGCACTTCTATCCTGTCCGCCCCCCATTCCCTTTCCCGCTCTGTCCCATAGACAATCCATCCAAGACCACCCACCACCGTAACAACCGTACCCCCATCCGCCCCAGCCGAAGCTCTCACCCCAACCTGCCCACTTGCACCCCTCCACCATCTCCCGCTGTGCCAACCACCGCCGCCCCCGTTCCCATATATGCCACCATGGAGGCGGCCCGCGTCCTGTACGCCGAAATGCGCGACCCGCACGCCATCCACCAGCTGCGGCACGCCATCGACGATCTCAATCTGCGTGGTCTGATCCAGTCGGCCTCGTGGGCGTCGCAGCTGTACAGCGCGGCCCTGTCGTCCGCCTCGCCCTCCGACTCGCCCGACGCTGCGCGCGCCGCCGCCTTCGACGAGCACGCGTGCGAGCGGTGCCAGCGCCCGTACGGTGCGGCCCCGGGCCGCGACACCGCCTTCGTGCTCGCCAAGGGCTTCTTCGACGCCAAGCAGTACCGCCGCGCCGCGTCGTCGCTGCGCGTGGGCAATACCCCGCACGCACGCTTCCTCCGCATGTACGCCCTGTATCTCGCCGGGGAGAAGCGCAAGGAGGAGGAGCGTCAGGAGCTCGCGGATTGGACCGAGCCCGTGAATATGGAGCTCGCGGCGCTGCGCCAGGAGTTCTTGTCGCTAAGAGTGAAGGGAAAGCTCGACGCGCATTTGTGGTATCTGTTCGCCGTCGTGCTTAAGCAGATGCGCCTGGCGAAGCAGGCCGTCTATGCCTTCGAGCAGAGCCTCTCGCTGTTTCCGTACAACTGGGGCGCGTGGCTGGAGTTGGCGCCGCTGTGCGAGAGTGCGGACGTTGTTATGGAGCTCGATGTTAAACAGGAGTGGCTCAAGGCATTGTTTTTGGCACATTATTATAACGAAATGGATGAGGCGGAGGCTGCGCGACAGATCTATGAGAATGTCCTTGATGTCGTCCCGCACTCGGCCTTTGTGAAGGGGCAACTCGCGCTGGCATTGTATAATGTGAGAAGGTTTGATGAGGCGCAGCAGCTCTACGATGACATTTATACAGAGGATCCCCATTGTTTGGACGGCATTGATATTTATTCCAACATTTTGTATGTCAAGGAGGACAAAGTGCAGCTTAGTTTGCTGGCGAACCGATGCATCAAGATTGATAAATTTCGGCTGGAGACGTGTTGCGTAATTGGCAATTATTACTCGCTGCGGGGGCAGCATGATCAGGCTGTTGTGTATTTTCAGCGCGCGCTGAAACTGAATCGGAACTATTTGTCGGCGTGGACGCTCATGGGGCACGAGTTTTTGGAGATGAAGAACGCCTCCGCGGCTGTAGAGGCGTACCGGCGGGCGGTGGATATTAATCCAAAGGATTTCCGGGCTTGGTACGGTTTGGGACAAACTTATGAGCTCTTGAGTTTGCCGCTTTTTACATTATACTATTATCAAAGGGCCGCTGCTCTGCGTCCAAAGGACGTGCGCATGTGGTGCGCGATCGGGCAGACTTACGAAGAGCTATCAAAGCAAGACGATGCGATTCGGTGTTACGAGAGGGCGCGGCGGTGCGATGACCAGGATAGTCTGGCCCTTGCAAAACTGGCGTATCTATACGAGAAGATGGCTCGGGAAGCACTAAAAGATGGACGGCAACAAGAACTGGGCGTTTTTTATTCAGAGCAAGCTGCCCAGTACCACTTGGCTAATCTGACAAGGCGAGACCAGGAAACCTTGACGGGACCTGAGACAGTTGATGCGCTCAAGTTTCTTGCTGAGCATTACTATGCTCGGCAAATGTTGTCCCACGCGGAAAAGTATTGCCACCGTTTAATGGACTATGCAGGGCGCGATAAGGATTTCGCAAAAAAAATGCTGCGGCAAATACACAAAAAGGATGAGGAGTAAACGTTTTACTAACTGCTGTAGCGATGTATGGTCGCAGTAGGCTTGCCATACAACGATCCCCTTCGAGAAGGAGCTTGGCCAACCTTACCTGTTGCATGTACAGTATGTGTGCGCAGTCAGGACCCTTGTCGACGGGCTGCCATAACTACGATAAAATTTCAGGTCAGAGCAGTTGCCAAATAAGTAATCTGCAATCAGCCAGTATTGCGTATTTTCAAGAATGCGATTTACGCGGCGGTGAAGTGAAACCGTCGTGTGCCTTCAGCACCGGGGATTCACAGTCGCCATCAGCAACAATCACTACTATTCATTCATGGCAGCAGCGTCAGGTTCGCGGGTTCAAACCCGAAGTGACCCAACACTCCCAAGAGCAAAGAGACATCCTTCCTCACATTTTCTACCCCCCACCCAACCGAAGCTATTGACCTGGAACAATTATTGTTCTCGGTAGGTTGTCTCTCTTGATCAGTGACAAGTTCCCAGTCTTGATTCCTAGAGTGAGGGCAGAACTGGCATCGCCCCTAAAAACCTGCATGTTCACCATCTGTCCCACCCTTGCTCGATCCACAGACGCCTGAACGTCCTTCGCGTTCCGGACTTTTTTCCCATCAATCGCCACAATGACGTCATTCCTGCGTAATCCCGACTCTGCAGCTGGCGACTTTGGCACAACCCTAATCACGATGGCACCATCAACTTCTGGCACGATGACTCCTGCGTTCGGATCCTTGTTGGCCCTTTTAGCGACACTTGAGTTGTGATTGCTCATCTTAATGCCTAAAAACGCATGCGCGAGCGTTCTTCCCCGTGCCAATTCTGATGCTACCTCCTTTGCGATGTCGATGGGAATGGCAAACCCAATCGCTTCAGCATTGGCGCGCACGGCGGTGGAGATCCCGACGACCTCACCCCACTGATTGCAAATCGGACCTCCTGAGGATCCCGGATTGAGCGAGGCCGACGTCTGTATGAGATTCAATCGCTTTTCCGGTATCCCGACCTCTGATGAAGACCGATTCAAACTCGACACAATGCCTAGCGTGACCGTATTATCCAGCCCCACCGGATTCCCCACAGCGATAACCCAATCGCCGACTTCCAGCTCCGCGCTCGTTCCCATTGTAGCCACCGGCAATTTCTTCCCCTCCGTATCCACCTTAATAACAGCCAAGTCGAGATACTCATCTGCTCCTTTCACAACGCCCACAAACGACCTGCCATCCGTCAACGTAACCGTTACTCGATGAGCATTCCTCACAACATGCGCGTTCGTCAGCAAGTAGCCGTCCGCGGAAATAATAAAGCCAGACCCCTGCCCGCGCTCCATGCGAATCTTCGTCGGTGGCTCGCCAAAGAGCCTCGACAACGCAGGGTCGTCAAATATCGGATCCAGCGCGCTCGGGATGCTAGACGAGGGGCGTATGACGCGCTCGGTGTCAATCCTTACAACTGACGTGCCGACCGACCGGACCGCCTGCGTGACGAACGAGGGCGGGTGTCGGGCGGGCTTCGTGCGTGCCGCCGGCGGGGCGCCCGAATCGAAGAGCTGCAAATCGGACGCGCGTGGCGACGAAGAGTCTTGCCGGGTGTTCTGGGCGGGGGGGGACGGAGCGGTCTTGGAGGGAGGGGCGGGCTGCTTGGGGGAGAAAGGGTTGAAGAAGGTGGCGCGGGCGGAGAGGGAGGCATCCGGAGCGGGCCGCGCGTGCGATTGGGGCGGGAGGGAGGGGGGTGCTGGCTGCGCGGGCAGCGGGAGGCCGGCCAGCAGCGCGGACACGGCGGCGGAAAGGGCCGCCGGGACCTCGGCGCGCATTGTTGGGGGCCGGCGCGCGCACGGGCTCGAGGAGGGCGGAGTGCGGCCGCGGAAGGGCACGGCCGTCGGGGAGACGAAGGCCGGCATGGTGGCGGGGTGGCGAGATCGACGGGAGGAGTGGGAGAGGTCTGTGGGTTGGGAGATGAAGATGCTTGCCGGTCGGCGCGGCGGGGAGGTTGGAGCTGGATTTTCTAGAAGGCTGCTCTTCAGGCGCAAGCCGTAGAAGCGACACTGTACGTGTACACGGTGCCCAGGGCAACATTCTCGACACGACGTACAGGTCTGCCACATGTACACGACAGCATCGTATTACACGTGCCCCGCGTGTATCAGTTTCTTTTTGGTTTAACATCATATGCCAGAGCACGCGCCACGTGTATGAAAAGCTCGAAAACGAAAGGTGCAACCCCCCCCCACGCCCAGCTTTGATCCGTACCGATAGCGGGCCCCTTGACCCTGACTTCGCGCGATTCCCTTCCCAACAAGACCTACCGCTGCAACTTGAGTGCCGCCTGGGAGGTTGAATCGCGGGCATCGCACGTCCGCCCTGCGCGTTCACTGATGGAGAGCCTGGGCGAACCGCGGGAGTTCTTCGCCGAGTTCTTCCGATGTGTTGAGAGGCAGCACAACCCAGGCCCGGCGACATCCGCCGACTTCCCGCCCGCCAACCACGGTAACCTGCTCGCCTCCTCATCGCGCCACGGCTACCTCCTAGTCGCTTCCAACCGTGAGATATACATCCATCTGCTCCAAGGGCTCCGCAACAAGGCCCCCGGCGACTTCCCGGAGGGCCGCCTCGATCTCGGAAAGCATGGCGTAAAAACCATTCTGGACATCACTTTCGTGCTCAATGACGCCGCCCTTGTAGTGCGCGCGGTCCCGGAAAGGGAGGAAGACGCATGCGTCCTCGTCCTTAGCACTGAGATGCTCGTAAAAGGAAGGGCCGCCCTGTTCAACGGGCCGCCGCTGCAAAGGGGGCTCAACGCCGTGGCCGTGTGTCCGCAGTCCTTCAAAACGGAGTCTCCGGGCGAGGAATTGAACCAATTTGTGGCCCTGTTGTATGGCGAGACCAAGGTCGAGCTACATGCTATTGGCACGGGGATGGCCGACGACGGCACGGCGACTAGTGCCCAGTGCTCGTTCGACGCGCCAGGGCCAGTCACCTCGCTAGCTTTGTCCCCGGAAGATCGACTGCTCGCCGTAGGAGCAATGCGCGGCTCGGTGGGCATTCATGATCCGAAGAGCGGTGCACGGCTTCATAATATCACGGAAATTGAGTCGGGGTGGAGCCCGTTTTCGCTCCACTTTCTGGACGATGAGGCTCTGATGGTTTCGTATGTGCGCGGTCAGGATGTAAGTCATGTGGTCTGGAACCTTGTCAAAAACGGAGATTCGCTGACCGTGAAAGGACATTCGGTCCTCGGCGAGTTATGTTTGCCGCTTCTTGGCACGTTCCCTTCTTCTTCTGACGGAGAGGATGGAGATGATGAGAATGAGAGTAAACCGCCAGTGATTTGGTGCCACCGCATCCCCGGATGGGATATTTGCATCGTCGCGTCGTCAAAGTCCGAAAGCATGGAGCTCATCGCTTTGAATGAGAATGGTGTTTGGGTGAACTGGAAGCCAGACGAAGGTAAAATGGCTACTTTGCCTACGGATGAAAACGATGACGATACGTTTCCAATCGGTATCGCGCTTGATCTCACAGATACAGATCCTGTCGACGCCATAGAACCGGCACTTCCCCCGCTGAAACCTATGCCACGCGTTATTGCGTTCACGTCTGTCGTACTCCTGCTGCCCTTTTCCCTCGTTGACGATCGAGCTGATGCTGGCTGTAGATTTATTGCCGAGCGGCGACGCATTCAGAAGACACCTGCAGAGCCCAAACCTATGGAAAAGCTCGTCTTCCCGGAAGTACTTTCTGCTGCTGAATCTTCAAGTCAAGAAGACGATCATGAAGTACCTTCTCTTCCGCTTCAAGAGCAAATGGCTCAAAAGCCTTTGGTTGAACAGCCTTTCCTTCATGGGCCTCCAGTCCAAATGCCAGCACTCCCAACGCCTACAACGAAAACGACGTCCGATTTTTCAGCTTCTTCACTTGAAAGCGAACACATGCTGCTGTCTGGAGAGGTCACACCCAAGGATGGCTTCCATTCGACGCTGAGGCCTCCGTTTGGGGTTCCGGCATCTATTTCTGCACCGGAAACTTCGCAGGACGTCAGAGATGGAAAGTCTGACTCAAGTGCAAGCTCGGTTTTAAAGAATCTTGCTTTCCCCTCATTTTCGGCGAGTGTTTTGAAAAGGGATGTTCCGATTGTTGTACCAGAACAGCTCAAGCCGACCCATGTTGGCCAGATATCATTTCCGGTAGGAGAACCTGGGGACTATGCATCCTCAATCAGGATGGTATTGGACGAGATGAGAACAGAACTAAACATGAACCGAATTATGGAAGAGTCAACACAAAAGACGCTTTTCAAAACAAATGAACAAATGATGCCGCACATTGAAACTGTCAGATCTGAACTGGCAGGACTGTTGGATGTACTACGGAAACGATTCCATGAAGAAGCTTCACTCCGGCGGGAAGTGCTGACCTCGTTAAAAGGTATGAATGCCTTATCTCGGGAATATGAGTCGGCATATCTTGAATTCAGAGTTCGTGAAGAAGAAGGTTTTGTGTCTCATTTGCAAGCCGAGGACAAGATCATGGATGATAGCATTGTAAAGAAAGAGGCGGATATTCTTAAATCCATATCTGCCATTGAACGGAAATTGAGCACTTCACAGAATCGGAAACCCAGTCGACTGGGTCATGCAGAGCAGGTCCAACAAATTTATTCCTCCCTAAGCCTACAGGGGATCCGCGTCAAGAAGCTTCGTGGTCTCCTGGCCGCTCTTTCAGATCGCATAGATGAATTGGACAGAGGAGGGAGGCTCACAGATCTGGGTCTGTCAATGGCTCGCCTTGAGAAGTTATCAATTAACCGCATCAAGTCACCAACTATGAACCTTCGACAAGGTAGTCGTGGTCTCCGAAGTGCTGAACGAGGGCCCGGCGAAGAGTTTGTACCGAAAGTGTCTTCCATGCTCCCAACACACCCGTACAACTCTGAGGAATCACTACTTCCGGGAGATGTACAAAAGGTATTGCGGCGTTTGGCCATGAGGGATGGGCGCGCTGTCATTGTTGTTCAAGGTCCACAAGGAGAGAGGCGCAGAGCTGAAGAGATGTCCGAAGGTAAGAATCGTTTTGCACCGGACCAAGCTGAACAGAGCCTTCGCCCTGGGGCTTTTTACGCCTCCATCGCCAGCTCTAATGGCCACGGGCAGCAGAACATTGACATGATTCGCAACAGAAGGAGCGAAACTATTCACAGTGTGAAGAACAACCAGACTCCATCTTTCGCTCCACTGTCCTATCAGCGAGGAGAAAGGAAAGAATCGTCAAGTGCTGGCAATCGCGTAGTACCTTCAGGAAAGCGGTCTGCGTCAGCGTCTAGAGATCCAGCTGGGACTGTCAAGGAGGGAGTAGGACATGAGCGGGGGGAAATTCCCAGCCTTGCATCAAGTGGAAACATTTTATCAAACCTACCGGAGGATGGGCAAGCAGGAGCTGAAGAAGCGGGGAGCAAGCGGGCGTTCTACCCGCCATCCACATCAAATCACTTCACGGCACGAGAGATCACATCAAAACCTATGACCAAACCAAACGTTCCTTCTGCTGGGATACCAAGAATTAGAGTCCCTGCAGTTGCAGCAGATCTGTTTGGAACCTCTGATTCGGTTCCACCAGTCGTCGCGTCTTCTGGCCAGCCACTAAACGCGGGGGAGTCACCCCTCTCTTTCAAGCCGGTGACATCTGGACGCCGACAGAGCACTAAAAAGCCTCCCATCTTGCCACATGAAACAGACACATTTGCCTCTCTCCCGCCCGAGCCACATGGAGTGCAACGTAAGAGGTCTTTGCAACAAGAAGATTCTCAAAGTGCTGGAGCTCGAGCCGCAGGTACAATTCCGGTGGCCTTTTTACCGCCGGATCCAGACTCCCCTATTACCAGCTCTGCAAACCCACTATCAAACGGAACGAAGAAGGGTTCCGTAGCACAGGAGCAATCACCAAAGGCTTCCGACTCTCCCTTTGCCACATTGCCGCCGGAAGATGACCGAAAAGAGGTTCCGTTCGCCTCTCTTCCACCAGATGATGATTTGACAATAGACTTTTCAGCTGTGGTGCCCGCCGGTTCTGTCCCGAAGCAAAAGCAACGAGAAAATCCAATTCCTCGAGAAGAGGTGACAAGTTCCACTTTTACGGCTCTACCGCCTGACGACGATGTCAAGCCCAACCCTGTGACGTCGAAGAATCTGTCCATTGGACCTACTACGGGAACGATAGGAACCCAGTTGGCCATGACAGCTCAGAGCAGTCCTCCCATCTTCGGAATTGATAGTGGCGAATCAAACGCATTCGGTGTCTTCGGGAACAAACTGGCTCCTGAGGGTAAACCAACCACTTCCTTATTTGGTGCCGCTCAGGCTTCTGAAAGCAAGTCGAAGTCAAAAGAAGAGTCAGGAAGTGCGTCTCTGTTTGCCACAGCAACACAGAGCACGGCATTGCAGTTCTCGAATTCCTTTTCGGCAGCATTTTCGACTCAACCGGCTGAACCTGCGACATCTCAAGACGACGCGCCTGCTAACGAGTCTCTCCCGCCCATTGATGCAGATAGCTCGGACTCGGATGGGGAGGAAAATTTCAGGCGTGAGGGCGGGTTTGGGGCAATGTCGGCTTCGAAATTCAACGCCCCTAGGGAGCAGACCTTCCAAGGATTTGGTAAGCAGGCTGCATTTGGGCAGGCCAGTGCAAGTCCTTTCGCAACGGCAGGGACACAAAGCGGACAGACTAGTGCTTTCTCATCGCTCACTCAGCAACATACGGGCCCTAGTACTTCGGCTTTCACGTCAGATGCTTCTGGACAAACCTCCGGATTTGGAGCTCCTTCTACGCTAGGCGGAGGGGCATCTTTTGGATTTGGGTCGCAGCTTGGAGCCTCGACGCAACCAGGGGCCGTACCACAATTCGGGCAAAGTTCACAGCTTGGTGGTGCAGTGCAATTTGGAGCGAATTCGCAGCTTGGGGCTGGATTTGGGGCACAGTCTTCGCTTGGTGGAGGTCAGTCTCCGTTTTCAGCGCAACCGACCCCGGCGCCCTCCGGATTTGGAAGCGGAGGGCCCCCTTTTGGGAGTGAAATGTCTAACGTAAGGTTTGGAGAATCTACTTTTGGAGCGCCACAATCTGGATTTCCCGGTGGGGGTGCTTCTCCTTTTGCTGGTAGTGGTGCTGCTTTCGGGGGCCAGAGCGGTGGAATTTCTGGTTTTGCAGCCTTGGCAGCCTCACAGCCCCCAGGTGGTGGAGGGTCGGGGTTTGGCAACGGCATGACCCCAATATTTGGGAACAGCCAGGGCCCACCATCCTTCACATCGCCCGCTTTCTCACAGAGAAGAGCATGACTACTGCAGCACCAACATTCTAACCACATGTAAATATCCCAAGAGTACTTCACAGCCTTCTGGATTTGTATTTAGTCCTCTGGTAACATACATATGTACAAAAACGACACAGCTAAGGGTGTGTGAAAGTTTTGAGATAGCATCAGAATTGTCCGCTACCAAGGGGCCCACCCTATCGTGCTCAAGAAAAGATCCCAGCGCAATTCCACCTTCTACTGCTCGCCTCGGGGTCACAATCGTGATACCATTCAGGCAAGCCTCGTGAGTTTGGATTAAAGCGGTAGTTCATAAAGATCTCTTCGTCATAAATGTCCCTAGTGGCAACAAGAGCCAGTGTCCTTTTTATCCTGTGGGCATGCCGTCCTTTCGAAAGAAAATGGACGCTCCCAGGAACTCTCTGTTGATATGCACGGTTCTCGATACGCTCCAGCATGCTCGTCTCGCCTTCAAACGAAGCGTTCGGAACAAGCTCTCGTGCCTCGTGAGGTAATCTACCTACGTCAATATCAAGCATAAACTGCAAGCAGTTGGCCTCCTTACCTTTTGGTGGGTGATTAACAATGTGGCCCAGGGCGAGCGGATGAACCAGCTCTTGTTCCTGGTCTGCGTCTATGCCGACCTGCAGCTCGACCTGGGCGGCACCGTCGATGACAACTCCATCAAAACGTGAGATCCAGTAATCGTTCCCCACGTTGTCGCCCAATTGCCGAACGTGACTAGGAAGATATGACACGCCTGGGTATAAGGTTAGTAACGCTCCTCGCGATGCCGAGCCATGTACATAAATGCCGCGCCCGGCATCCGGCACGGAGCTGTCACCCATACCGGTCACGAAACCAAACTGGCTTCGAATGTAATGATCCACGGAGGACTTGGAACGTATCGCAGATGACAAGGCGACGAGTTGTTTCTGGCAGGCAGCCGTGAGATATGCGGTGACGATGTTAGCCTGTTCTTGGAAAGCAGGGAGCGCCTCCACGTTCAAAATGGCCGCAACATGGGCCTGCTCGGGTGTCTCGGGATGTTCATGAAGTGGAAGCCGTAGACGCGCCGGAATTGAAAGGTACAGCTGGGCGGTATCAATTCGTAACTGAAGTTCGCGACCGGCGAGTGTGGATTTGGGAGTAAAGTATGAGGAAATGCGAGAGAGCGCGGTGCGTAGAATGGAGTAAGAGGGGGAGGACATTGAGAGTCAGTCAAAAAAAAAAAGGTCGCATGCGTATCACGGTTATGGGGGAGGGGGGCGATTGAGGGATCGAAGAGCCCGTCCCCGTCGGCCGTAAGAGGGTTCTGTCGATCGATAGACACTGATTGTCCGCGAGTCGTGGGTCGTCTTGGATAAGTGTATTGGTAAGCAGGGCGGAGGAGGGGGGGAGGTTAGAATAGGGGCGAGTGGGCCCCAAAGAGGTTCTGTGACCACGATTGATCATTTCAATGACGACGTCCAGCGATGTGAATTTTTGTTTCTTTCGAAGCCACATGGCATCTTTTCGGTCGCTACGGACAGAATCGTTGACGGCTGCGTTGACGTCAACAACGCCAACACGTAAAGCTCTTGATCTGGCGCTTCACATCCTTGACAGGCATGCGATATGTGACGTGTCGCCAAGCTGGTGATCGCCCTACCTATGCGATGAAGCGTTTCCTCTTTTTGAGAGGACGACGCATGACTATCATTTCTTCCTCAGCAGACACTTACACAAATATGCGCTGGCACAGAGTTTGCGTCAATAGCGCGTCCTTCCTTCAAGGAAACGGGAAGGCAAGTCCGAGCTTACGAAGCCCATCAAAACGATACAATTAGTCCTTGTGTAATTTGTAAACCCTCGTTTTTCTGGTTCGCTCCTCACCTCCTACGGCGGGACATCCTGTTGTCAAAATGCGTTCACTTCGCACGGCGACGACGCTCTACGATATATGCAGACCTTGAGTACTCAGCAAGCAGGGCTGCCGCTCTCCGTGAGCATGGAAACCTCCAATGTAGAAGGCGGTTGCAAGGATGAGGATAGGGCGTGACAAAGGTACATTTTTGCAATAGTGTCATCCTCTTTTTCAGTTCCATGCAAGACCGCTAATGACATCTCCCCTCCTTGGACAATTACCCGTGATTTGACGCTGTGGTTCTCTGTCATCCTGATCGCAAGAAATGCCACCTTTTACAGTAATTCCACCCGGCTTCAAATAATAACTTGCGTCAGTTTCTTTTCCGCGCATACAAAAACACCGGATGACGGGGTGAATACACTCTTCCGATCCCCAGGCATATAAATATCTGCATCCATTCCTTGGTCACAAAACTTGACACCACCCCTCAAAAGAAGACAATTCTGTAAGAGGCTTGCATGCATTGTGGACGGTGCAGACCTTTTTTTCTGTAACCGAATTCATCTCACAATACGTACCGGCCAGGGAGCTTGAAGCCATTTCATCGATTCAAAGAAGGAATCGGTTTCAGACCAGAAATCCACCCCAATTGTAACACACTCTTGTGGATTTTCTATTTTTCAAACGACAACCTTCGTGCCGAAGAATATGTTTCAGCCTCTCTTTCACGTACCGACTGCAGTTATATGCAAGTTGGGTCATTCACGCTTTCATACCGAGACTTTTCCATGGCATCTCGAAAAGTGTAAATACAGTTAACCCGTCTAGCGAGGCTTGGGTAAGGTTTCCGTAGAACTCGTGCCATTTTCATGCATTCTTGCCCCGCCTACTCTGCACACGGACGATGGAATGTGTTTATACCTCGCTGTTCTTTAGAGAAGGTTCCAATGGAACAAGGAACTTCTACGGAAGGAACGTTTCAATTGTTTCGGGCGTAATCGATGCCAGTTGCAATATGTATGGCATAATTCAGATCAGTGTTTTAGGGTCCTGGTGTATACCAAAACCTTTTGTTGAAGGAAGAATTCAATGGTACTCTATTGCATGCTGTAATGGCATGAACAAGTATTTTGCTAAGCTTTGTGAGTTTGAGAATATACAGGAAACATGCAACAACAAAATATTTACTCAGACTTGGTGAAAAGATAACAAAATTATCTGAAGCACTGTCGTATCGAGAAACGTGCAAATAGATTACGATCTGAAATGCTGACCAATTGTGCACCAAGCACAGGGTAATCCGTGAGTGAGAGCGGTTGCTCGATGTGCATTGCTACCTGGAAGTAAGTTAATGAAATCGAATTCATCTCGCTGTCTTCATTCAAGGAACAATGCCTACCGTCGATATGGAATTAGGGAGCCTGCTCTTCTGTCTTCGGTAGGCCTACAGTTACTGTATACAGTGGCCGCAACAGATGACACAAAATTGGCCTCATTTCAAGAAACACTCATGAACAATATTCAAAAATTCCATTCTCGATGTTGCGGGGGTATAACTTCGCACGTACCAGTGCATGTTACATGCTGCCGTTGTCGAAGTTTTTGCACATTTCTCTCGTACATTGGCGAGGTTTACAACTTGGGTCTCTTGTCAAGTGCCACTTGTTGATAGGGTATTGCTCAACCGCGGAGACTAGAGCGCAATCATGCAGCTTCACAACACATGACATCAAGTGCATATCTTCCGCCCTGCACTCTATTGGTTCACGCCATCACTTTCTGCTGTCTCTTGCTGCTGCTCCTGCACAAAATTCTGCTTTCTCCGACTGATAGCAGCTTCTCCCCTGCTACGTAGGGATCGGGCTCTCACGATTCCTTACTTATTAGTCAGAGGCGCAGGCTGCTCTGCCAAATTTTCTGCTCACCCACACCAACTCACACTGCTCAAAGCCGATTCACTATCTTGTGTCATTCTATTCATCAAAGATGCCTCGTAACACCGCTTCTTCATCGATGTCTTCTTCTTCCTCCTCAACGACCCCTGCACCGGTCGCAGAAGACACCTCGAACAACCCGACGCGAAAAGTCTACAAGTGCCGTCACAAGGGCTGCAAGAAAGAATTTTCATTTCGCTCTTCGCTCTCTCGTCATGTAGAGCACAGGCATTAAGGAAGAGGGACTCTAGAGCAGGTGGGAGAAAGTAGAAGCAAACCAGAGAGAGAAGACTAGTCTGCTCCAGCGGCCAGAAGGCGGGCGACGGAATCAGACATGGAACATAGAGCGAGTGTACGAAACGTTTCGACGATGACTTTATAACCCTGAATCTGGAGCTGTGAAACTCACTCCATTGGGCCGTTGCAAAGCCATTTATGTGCAAGCGAATGATTCTGATGGTGGGCGCGTCTGGGGTTGGAGTATTAACGTGGTTTGCCGAAGCCGGGGATCGTGCTCTGCAGTAGGATCAACGAACTAAAATAGTGCCAGGTTCACAGCATAAACTCCTCAACTACGCAGTGGAACGTGCGTGAATCTTCCCGATTCTATGATGCATGTGCTCGTGTCCACGCGGCACATGTCCCACCGGACCATGTCCCGGTCCTGAATTCCCTGTAAGCAGATTGGTCACATACGGTTGTGGCCCCTCCGGCCCAATCCGCCCCCTACACACAACTCCTGACAGTTCTTCACCATTTCTTCCCAGACAGCATCCGCTGCCGCTTCTCGGCTTTCTTCCACGTCGCTTGCTGCGCCTCCAAAAACGCCATAGCTTCCTTCGCTCGCTTGTCCCCCCGCTCCCTTCTCGCCCCGTCTTCCCTGTCTTGCTCCGTCCGTCGAGCCGAGGCAGACTGTCGAACGTCTCGAGCCCATCCGCGCTCCTCTTTTTTGAGCGCCCGCCTTACCCTCATCGCTGATTGGCTCATATCTCCACTTCGAGCCGCATGATACGACGTACGAGCGACTCGCCGGAAAACCCCAGACTCTGCCGAGAACTTTGGGTTCAAAGATTTGCGCACAGCTGCCGCTGCAGATACTGTGTACAAAGCGAGTGGCTTGCGCGTCTCTCGTGATGAAACCAACGCCTGCAGTAAATTGGTGCAATTCTTTCCTCGAGGCAACCGTCTCAACGGTAGTTTCTGGAACACAATATCTTGATGGCTTACACGCCCTGACATAGTGGCTGCATCAGCCAGGCAGAGGACGGACTCCACTACCATATTCTGCAAGTGATTTCCGTCATCCTGCTCATTTTCGCCTCCTGAGCTATTTTCGTCGTCCGCGTTTGCCTCATCCGCCTCCATCAGATCGCGCAGGCGAAGGCTTCCAACGTCGGCCTCACAATCGCCCTCTCTGTAAGCACCAAATAGTCCCCTTAGTTTCGGTGTTCCCGGAGATAGAGCCCCGCAGAGCACAGATGTTATGAACGTCGTCAGTTGTCCTGAGTACCGACCAGCACCGGCCATCTGCTCAACGAGGAGTCTTCCTACAAAACATCCCATTGCAACATCTCTACAGCATAGCATTCTTGATATTGCAAGTCCTTCCGAAAGCAGCAGTACCAGTGGCGTGCTTACCGGGTGCCTAATATCAGAGGACGGAAAGAGCCGGCCGACGCTGCGCAAAACAAGCAAATCTGAAGCGTTCCACCTCTTCGACAGACCCCCTGATTTCCTTGGTGACGTCAGAGAGTGAAACGCATTGGCAATAGTGTCGCGGGCCCATCCCGCAACCAGCCCCTCATTTCTCTTGCCAAGGGCATGAGCGTGAATGAGTAGCATGTCAATTTCTGCTACAGCCCGTTTCAGGTTTACAGCAGAAACCTTGGATAAAATTTCTATTCGAAACAGGCAGCATTCCAACAGACGATCGAGTTTCGTTGCGTTAACGGGCGGATTCAATGATACCGCAAAACACTTGCGCAAGCGCTCGACCACCAGTTGCCGTTCAGAAAGAGTTCGATTCTCAAAGAGCTTTTGAAGTTCCCTCGGGGAAGCAGGGCAATGCTTAAAGACAAAAGGGACGCCTTCTTTGGCTCTCGATTGTGTCTCCGCATGATCTGCGACAACTGCACCGTTCGGATCTATATCCTCCTCGTCCTCTGCCCTGTCGGAAGCATGATCTGAGTCTGATGCGGAAGGCTCATCATCTGGCGCATGCGCCTGATCATCCTCCTCACTATCATCATCGCCATCGCTTGCCGAAAGCTCAAAGCCATCTTCAAGGTCATCTCCACCAGCGCGACGATTTTTCTTGTTCGTCTTTTGCCTCGGCCTTCTAGATGAGGCAACGTCACGACGCCCCTCATCTTCCTCGGCATCCGACTCGACAGCGTTCTGCATACGGTCTCTTCTCATCCTTTCCATCTCCATGAGGTCGTCGAGCTCCTTTTTCGCCTTCTCCTCCTCCGTCAGTAGCCTATCTGACGGCCTCGCCCTCTTTTCCGAGGCCAATTGCTGATAAACGCTCTCATAACTGAATTTGGCAGTCCGATTCGGCGGCGGCGGAGATACCGTGCCATGAGCAAGGTCTCCCTTGTCGTTCTCCTCTTCAAAAATGGAAGCCTTCTTCTTCGGCAAGACTGTCCTGTTCTCCTGCGCCTTCTTCTTCGCAAAGTCATCCCCCGCCTGCGCCAGTAGACGCATGATATCCGGGAGCTCCTGGTCAAGCTTGGCCGTCTGGGCGTCAGCCTCATGCTTGTCCTGCTGGCGCTTCGCCTTGTACATTTTACTCTTCAGCACGACCTCGTCCATAATTTCCTGATGCGTGCGCTCCCTGCCGGGCGCCTCCTCCTCGGCGGGCTTGACGGTGAGAAATTCGTCACCGCTCTCGTCGCCGGCGGCGTCCTCGTTCCCGCGCGCCTCCTCGAGGGCCTCCGCCTCGTCGTAGTCATCCCGGAGCAGCGAATGCGTCGCGCGCGCTTCAGGCGGCCCCTCCTCCCCCTCGCCGTCCTCCTCCAGCGCGTACCTCGCGCGCTTGCTCGTGCGCCGCGTGCGCTCGCGCTGCAAGCGCGCCAGGTAGCGGTCCTCGTCCGCCAGCGTCGGGTCGTCCTCGCCGATGCGCCGGTCCGCGAACACGTTGCGCCGCGCCCGCTTGGGCGCCGCGTGCCGCCGCCGTGCGCCGGACAGTACGGCCCAGCGCGCCTCGAAAGGGTTTTCGGACGCGGGGGTGCGAGGCTTCATGGCGGACGTGGCGGCAAATTGAGAAGGACGCGGGTGGGAGATGCGTAACGGAGGAGGCGGTGACGACGGTGCTGGAAAGTCAAGAAAGGTTGGGCGGGAAATAGTGTGACCGTAGGAATGCATGCGTCACGTGGCAGCTTTGATGCAGCTGCGGGAATCGCGATCGTGACTGGCCGCTTGATCCGCGAGTCCTCCAAATCATACAGTACAATAGACAAGTTTCGCTTGGCAACCCACAAACGCAACCGCTCCCCGCCTTCGCGCCAACTCACAACTCCATCCCCTGTACGCCCTTCACAACTGTCCCTCGCCTGCTCGCAGGCGTCTCCCCATCCCCCACCCACGCCTGGTCCGAGGGCCATTCCATCATGACCACTTGGTCCTCTTTACAGTGGCATACAGCGATCATACATCGCTGGCGTGTCGCTTCCCGAGCCTATCATATCAACATACTTGAGGTGGAGGCACTGATCTTAGCTGTCCGCCATATGAGGAGATCACCCGTTACTCGGGGTAAGAACGTCATGGTTTTTCTAGATAGCCTTGTTGGTCCAGGTGC